AAGTTTGATTCCTGGCCCCAGAAGTGACCCACATGGCGCAGCTGAACTCTCCTGTCTTGCCTGCTGCTCCCTTTAGCAGTGTAATCCGTCAATCTGTCTGCCCATTCTCCTCACTGTTTCTGGTGAATACTATTACCACCCCTATACCTCTGGCCTGTACCCCAGTTCTGTATGCATAAATAAATAAATCTTTTAAAAAAAATAGTTGAACAGGAATACTATAGCAAGAAAGGACAGTTTTAATAGGAAGACAATATTTCTGTCCTTCTATACTCTATTAATAATTTCTGGAACATGTATTAATTTATGAATACAAAAAGGATAATCAAGTCATATTGGTTCACATGATTTTGGAAGCCTATTATACTTTATCCCAGAAGGCAGAAAAAGTATGTAATAGTCAAATATCTAAAAACAGAAAGCCATGAAGGAACAATATTACATATTAAAGCACTACCTGTTTTTTTTTTTTTCTGTCTCAGCTGGAATCCCCATAGACTTCCCATCACCAATTCACCCATGTGCCACCACCATAGTCCCAATAGCATTACTTTTTAATAAAGATTTATTTTTATTTATTTATTCATATAAGAACTGGGATATAGGCAGAGGTGTAGGGGGTGAGAGAATTCACCAGAGACAAGAGTGGTGGGGACTATTGAAAAACACTGCTGAGGGGAGCAGCAGGAGACAGGAGAGGTCTGCTGCGCCATGTGTGTTAACTCCCTGGTGGGGGATCAAACTCATGTTGCAATGGCTGGCAACAGCATTCAGATCTTAACACCTGCACCACAAGGGAGGCCCTATTAAAGCACTATTAATTTGGCACTATTGACATATGGCTCTGGTACCTCCAATCTCAAATGTAACAATCAAAATGTCTCCAGTCACCATCAAATGTCCTCAATACTCGAATAGTTCATTTTTCTCGAGAACTACTATATACAGTGCTAATTAGTCACAACATTAAATTTTAATTCAATTAGTTCTTTACTAGTGTTTAATATAAAGTGATTGTGTTTTTTAAAACGATAGTATTAAGTTTTAGTGTTCCCTGGTTTTGATAATGCTTTGGTTACAAAGCTGAACAGGTTTTGGGTCATCTACACATTAATCCTATTTTCTCTACACAAATGTTATGTTAGTATAATTTCCCTGAATGCCAAGTACAATGCAGCAGAAATGCCTGTTCCTTCCTTTAAAAAGATTTGTTTATTTTGTATAGGCATGGGTTTGGTGTAGGCCAGAGGATGTAGGCGGGGTGTGTGCATGTGTTTGTACTTATCTGAGCTTAGAGTTGGGAGAACATACAGTTCTTCTGATATACACTGCTAAGGGGAGCAGTGCACGAGACAGGAAAGGTCTGCTGTGCCATGTGGTAGGCTGGTAGTGCTGAAATTTCAGCCCTAGACCACCAGGGAGGCCCAGAAATGCATGTTGTGTGGGAATTAAGCATGATATGATTCTCCTCCCTGTTACATAAAATGCAGTTAAAAACTAGAGTAAGACAAGCAATACATACAAACACACACAATAGACGGGAAAATTTGAGGAGTTAGCATCATAAGACAGTGACTTAGCAGAAATTAAAAAAAAATTCTCAAGAATGATGAGCTCTAACACCAGCATATAGAGTATGCCTATGATGTGGTTTAGCATTCAGACAACAAAGGCATACTGCCTGGGTTCAAAATTCTGGTTCTGTAAGTTACCAGATGTACTGACTTTGGCTTTAAGTACCCTCATTTCTAAAACATGGATACTAATTTCCTAAAAAAGATGCTATATGGTTAAGTTAATTATTCGTAACATCCTTAGAATAGTACTGTATTATTACTTGTTAAATAAAAGTTGACTTTATTGTCCAGTAAATCTCACCTGTGTGCCAATCCAAGACACATTGCAGCCATTTCTCGTGGTTCTACCCCAGGTATTAATCCGTCCATCTGTGAACGTATTCCTCTCATAAGTTCATTGACAACAGGACTGTGGATACAACTGAGATTCAGCTTTTCCTATAAGAACAAGCATATTTGTTTTAAATAAACATAAGTTCCTCTGAAATCATTTAAATATTTTAAAAAAGCTTTAACAAAGATACAATTTCTCAGTTCACAAACAGCAGTTTCTAGTGTGTTTGTGGGAAGAACACTTAATACTATCGGTGTTAAGTCAAAATTTCTATGAATACATTTCCTGGAAGTAGGCTTATCTATGAACCAAATGTCCAAAGAGATAAATACAATTTAACTTACTAGCCAGTTTTGTCCTTGTTTGTTGTTATAAGAAGCTTTTATTCACTTCTTAAACAAAACAAAACAAAACAAAAGGCAAGAGGGGCCTCCCTGGTGGAGCAAGGGGCTTAGTCTCAATATTATAAAGCTATTACAGCCATTGAAGCAAGAGTTCAATCCTGATCAGTAAGCTGACCCACATGGTGCAACAGACCTCTCCTGTCTCCCCTCAGCAGTGTATTTCAGTCAATCTGCCTGCTCTGCTCCCAACTCTGTCTCTGGTAAATCTCACTCCCCAGCATCTCTGGCCTATACCCCAGCTCTTGCATACATAAGAAAAAAAAAAAAAAAAGGCGATATACCAGACTATTTTACTTATAAGAGAAGGTAAAATGAAATGAAAAGTGTTATTTTGAGCCTTAGGCCTTTCTCATACAGATGAAAAAGCACTTCCAGATGAAAAAGCACTTCCAAATATATACATGTGAATGTCTACATTACACACATACACAAATCTTTAAAAATACTATTTAAATTTTCATATACCCAACAGGATAAATTTTCTTCTGCACATACTCATTGCTGCTAACTCATAAGTCAACAGTTCTACTTCATCAAATGCAAATGACAGACAAGCAAAACTGAATATATATCATGCTTAAGAACAAAATAATTAGTACATATACAAGGAAAATTCAGTATAAATTCTTAAAGAAAACGTAGGGCCTTCCTTGGTGGCACAAAGTGTTAAGGTGCAACATTATGAAGCTATTGGCAGCCACTGCAGCACAAGCCGGACCCCCAGCCAGGGAGGTGACCTGCAAGGAGAGGCAGACCTCTCCTGACACCCCTGCTGTTCCTCTCAGAAGTGTATTTTAGTCAATCTGCCTGTTCTGTTCCTTCCTTGGCTCTGGTGAATTATCCATTACACTTCTGGCTTACATCCAGCTCTCAGATGCATAAATGAAA